ATATAATGCAACCCAAAAATATCGGATGGTTGATAAATATGATGTAATCCAAAGGTCAAAACGCTAAAGAAAGTGTTTGATTATTCTAACAATTTTTTGGAGAATGATTTTCCCAAAACACCATTGTATTTAAAAAAAAAAAAAACAAACCGTTTATTATGGAGCCGTTTCAACTCCTTGAATGACAAGAGCCAGTTTAATTGACTCACTGCTTGCACAGTAACGGATTGGCAAGCTTAATGCTTAAACGGATTGGCAAGTATTTTATAGAAATATAATAAATATTAATATTTTGTTCAATACTTTCACATGATAATCTATGACACGGATCTCACAACACATGAAAACACGTAGGGAAAAACTACCACTACCAAATATCAATATGCACTTGTAAAATAAAGAGTTTATAGTACAACTAAGATCTCAGTCATATACAGGGAAAATCTAAAACTTTCAACACCATAATCTCATTGCATGATGATGCCCTCTATGTTATGGATAGTTATGTTGTGCATCCGTATGCACCATGCATAGTGCATACGGATGCAAAAACGTCGTTTTATTAAAAACGCGCATCCCACTTAAAAAAAAAAATCAGTTTCGATTCCCCTCAACAACATTATGTTGTTCATTCATTCTGGAATTTTAGTTCATAGATTCTGGAATTTTAGTTCATTGATTCTGGAATTTTTGTTCATCGATTCTGGAATTTTAGTTCATTGATTCTGAAATTTTAGTTCATAGATTAGATTCTGGAATTTTAGTTCATAGATTCTGGAATTTTAGTTCATCGATTCTGGAATTTTAGTTCATATGTTGTTGCTAGGAATCGAAACTGATTTTTTTTTTAAGTGAGACGCACGTTTTTAATAAAATGACGTCGTTTTTTGCATCCGTATGCACCATGCATGGTGCATACGGATGCACAGCATAATTTGCCCTATGTTATCACTAGTAACCTAATTGCACTTGACATACTACCAATAAAAAAAAAGAGGACATGACATGTACTGAAGATGAAGACAATGATAATGCTACCCAAAAGAGAATTAAGAAGACTTATAGAAATTTAAATCAAAAGTAGTGTTTATTTAGACTAGCATTATTATTACGAAGTTGCAAACATTTATTATAGTGACAATTATAATGATTTTCTCATATATTATTTTTCTTGAAAGCCCACAAAGAGTCAACACCACCTCAGTGGAGGCTCGATCTCATGGCAAATTATGCTATGCGCACGACGCTAAAACGACGTCGTTTTCAGTGAAAACGACGCTGCCTTAACTAAAAAAAAAAAATTTGTTCGAAACGCCGTTAACGGCATATTCGTTATGAAATTATGAATATACAGTTATGACATTATGAATGTACAGTTATAGAATTATGAATGTACAGTTATGGAATTATGAACTTACAATTATGAACATAGAGCTTCGAAAATTATGAATGTTCGGTATGGAATTATGAATATACAGTATGGAATTATGAATGTACAATTATGGAATTATGAATGTACAGTTATGGAATTATGAATGTACAGTTATGAAATTATGAACATAGAACTCTGACATTATGAACATAGAGCTTTGAAAATTATGAATTTACAGTTATTGAATTATGAATGTACAGTTATGGAATTATGAATGTACAGTTATGGAATTATGAATGTACAGTTATGAAATTATGAACACAAAGTTGTGAATATATGCTCCTATAACGAAGCGGTCTGAAATTAAATTTTTTTTTTTAAAAAAAAAAAAGAAGGAAGATAACGGTGCCTGACGGCACCGTTACCGTGCCCATGATGCACGCTGGGCACGAGTCCACAGCATAACGACTCCGATCTCATGACCTCCCATATGGGAGAGTCACTACATGTCATCTGAGCCCAAGGTGCATGGCCTGCATTTATATACTTTAAACAAATTCAACATTCAATTACCTATGCAAGAACATCTCCTATATAATATTGCATTGATATACTTTGAAGTACTTATTTAAAAATAATTATTCGGCATTATCCCATTCGCGCAGTGCGCGTAAAAAAAACTAGTAATTTAATAACAGTAAAATAGAGTAATAATTATGCCAACTTTGATTGGGATGAGGTTCAAACCTAAGACCTTTCTTATTGAAATCAATGAGTAAGTTAACGGAGAATATAATTTTTAAGGGAATTTTGATTGTGATGGAGTTCGAACTTAAAACCTTTCTCATTGAAATCATATAATTATGAATAAAAATTTAGAAATTTCAAAGAAAAATTAAAATCCGAACAACATGAACCATTCATTTGATTTAATAATTGGAGGGATATTTTTTCTACTCATTATAGGCCTAACTCATTTTGGCTCTTATTAGTATATACTAGTTTTGTACGCACATTGCGCGATTGGATAATGCCCAATGTTTTTTTTTTGTTTTTTTTTTTTGTTTTTTTTTTTTTTTTGTTTTTTTGTTTTTTTTTTTGTTTTTAAATAAGTACTTTAAAGTATATTAAGACAAGATTATATTAGATTTTTTCATGCATAGATAATTGAATGTTGAATTTGTGTATTTAAATAGGTAATTCTAAGTTTACAAATGCAAGATAATATAGTCAAGATTGATTATAGACTTATATTGTCAATAAAATAATAAAATAATTGATAGGTATGGTTGAAACCAAATACGGGACATAAGGGAGAGCAAATAAAAATTATGACATAAAATATTAAATCTATACTAATATTGAAGAGCCAACTGCTGATTGACAAACAAGGACATTACGAGATAGTTCCCACTTCAATTTGTTGGGTGATTTGAATACTCATTTATCAATATATCCGCCAAGTATTAATATGATTGGCTTAATTATTATTATTTTTTAAAAACAATTGTTATTATTATTATTATTATTATTATTATTATTATTATTATTATTATTATTATTATTATTATTATTATTATTATTATTATTATTATTATTATTATTATTATTATTATTGTTATATGTATACCCTTAAGTCATTTTACATGTTAATCTAAACAGGTAATTTTTTCAAATATCATTTTACCAACCGTTGATATAATTCGCTGGTCAAATCCGCTAATATAATCCGCTAACGCTAACTGCTAACTGCTGATTATCAAACAGGGACATTGCGAGGAAGTTTTCACTTTAATTTGTTGTGTGATTTGAATACTCTTTTTTTTTTTGTCAACAAATCCCTCAAATAGTTAATATGATTAGCTTTATTAATTATATATATTTTTTAATTTTTTCATGGTATTAATAAAATACTTGGTAAATAAATATATTGCATTATTTTGTATTATAACTTTGATATTTAATTAAAAAATAGTGCACAAAAAGATAATAGACAATGTAGTGAATATAATCAATTGATAAATTTGAATTTAAAGAATTTTTATATTGGAGAAATATAAAGACAATATAACTAATAAAATTATTTTTCTTAATTAATTTATTGATAATGAATAATTTGTTTTAATAAAGACATTGTAGGAATAATGTAGCGAATATAACTAATGAAATTATTTCTTTTTTTAATTTATTGATAATGAATACTTTTTTTTTTTTTTTAATAAAGACATTGTAGACACATAATTCTAAATTAAAGAAATGGATATGTATTATTTTTTGTTGTAGCTACTAAATTATTATTTTAATTTAATAAGAGTAAAATAGAGTACTAATTATGCCAACTTTGATTGGGATGTGGTTCGAACCTAAGACCTTTCTTATTGAAATTAATGAGTAAGTTAACAGTGAACTAACTGAAATTAACAGAAAAGATAATATTTAACGGAAAAGTTAACGGATAATCATATTCATTAGGATAAATTAGGAAATTTTGAGGAAGAACTAAAATCTGATCAATCTGAGCCAATTATTTGATTAAAAAATTTGACCGTCATTTTTCAATGGCAAATTATTGTGTGGACCAAGGTCTACACAGTGTTATGTGGACCATAATAAAAAGTACATTTTTAATATACTAAATATACATTATTTTTATATTGAATGTACATTATACAATATAATGTACACTCAGTGCAAAAATAATGTACATCCCCTGAATACAAAGTACATTATTTTTGTGCTGAACTGTTGAATATACATTATTTTATAGTATACAAAATATGATCCACACAACTTATATGAACCATGGTCCACACAATAATGATTATTTTTTAATCTATTATAGGCCTAACTCTCTTGGGCTCTTATTAGTATAGTAGATATAGTAGATATTATATATTTTTTTTTTGGTGAATTATAGTAGATAGTAGATAGATATATTGAAAAATGTTAAAAAAAAAATGATTCGAAGAATCATACATGAACCGTTAGCATAATGGTTCGGTTAGTTTTTTTTTTTTTTTTTTTTTTCAAATCATGGTCAACATTACCTATTAATCAGCTCGTTTGGTCCGCTGGAAAATATTTGAAGGGAAATGGAATTAGAATTCCATGGAAAATAAATTCCAAGAAAACAGATTTCATTGTTTGGTTGGTGGAAAAGAAATTACTGGGAATATGAATTCCATTGTTTGGTTGAGTTTGGAATGGTAAGGAATAATGAGTATAATAACAAATATAACCCTTCACAACACTAATAATATAATAATAATAAGAGTAATTAATAAAGAATGATGAGGATAAAATTGTCATATTAGTTTTCAATGGAAAAGGTTTTCCATGGAAAACAAAATACCTAGCATAAGCTAGGAATTTGTTTTCCTTGTTCTTAAGGAAAACTTTTTCCAATGAAAAATATTTTCCATCCAACCAAACAACATAAAACATCATTTTCCTTCACTTTTAGGAAAACATTTTCCATGAAAAATGTTTTCCATCCAACCAAACACCCCCGGCTTTTACGGTAAAAAATAACTGTGGGCTTAACTATAATTTAGAAAAAGTAGAGGAGCTAATTATTAATATCAGATCCCGGGATATATATATATATATATATATTTTTTTTTTCCGAAAGCAGTAATCCCATCCCAGTATTCTAAAAGACAAAGCGCGGAGAAGAAAACAGCCGACCAGGCCCTTGTTCAATCATTACTGGATTCGCCGAAGCAGTTACTGCCTTTGAAGCAGTTCCTCTGAGAGAAGTTATCGAACAAATTTGGTATTTACTCTTTAATTTTCATTCTATAAATTCTTTTGCTACCTTGAAAGATTTCTCTTTTTCCCAGCAGCATGTTTGCACATTAGAAACTAATTCACCGATTTTGTTTGTAAATTTTTTCTACTTCTTTTTAGTTGTTGTATGCATTTAAAAGTAATTGGGGTTATTTATCGTTGCTGTACTTAACAATGGTACTGGCTGCTTAGTTTTTATTTTTATTTTACTTTTTTTAGGGTTCTATTCTATATTGTTCTACGTCAACAAGGGTTATGAAAAGGATTCAATTTGTTTATTTTTAGGGTCTCTTAAAAATTTATTGTTTATTTATTTATTTTTAAATTTTTTTTGAGATTAATAAGAACAGGAAACAATAATATTAGGTAGAAAAGTAAAGAAAGGCAAGAGTTAGGGCAATGTGATGGAGGGAAACTATTGTTGGTGATTTCCTAATCCAACTCATATAGGGATTATGATAATTCAACTCATATAGGGATTAGAAAATAGTCTAGATAGATGTCTATAAATACATTGGTTGTATCCCTAGGTATTGAATCATCACCATAATAATAGTTTTACTCCCATGGACGTAGGCACATTGCCAAACTATGTAAATCTTATCTTTTTTACTTTTATGCCATTATTATTGTTTCTTGTTCTTGTTAATCTCAACATTGTTGTGAAAATACTTTCATAACCCCTTTTACTGAGTTGTGTATAAAAGATATACATTGAATTTGCAAAGGCTGCATTTTTGTTTTATAGTGTTCTTTCACGAACCTCTTTCTGTTTAGTTATATAAAACATGTAATTGTTTAAGATGATTTGCTTTTCTTTGTAACAGACGACAGTGAATTGATATTATCAGCTTGTAACTTCCAGACCATGTCATTTACAGTAGAAGGTTAGTGGTTTTGCACACTTGTTTTGATGTTTATGTAACTGCTATTTAAAAAGGGAAAGTGTGGCTTTATTGCTTATTTGCCCCTATGTCTTACACTTCTGGTCAATTTTACTCCTACCTGTTCTTTTATGCTGTCACATACTTTTAATGCTATGCAAAACATAGTCAATTAGCTCAAATTTTGACAGTTCCATATAAAATTGTTTACATTTGCTATATCACTCAAGCCTACAGCTTTACTTGTCATGTAACACACATCATCTCTATTGGCCCTGTAAGCATGTCCATACCATCCACCAAAAAGTGGAAAAAAGAATAAGAATTAAGGGAGAATTGCTTTTTTCATCCCACAGTAATCCACCACTAGTTGACTTTTCCTTCATAATTGTTGTTTTCAAAATTAGTCCTTAGATGTGCCAAATAAGTTTGATTTTATGTTATGTCTCTGGGCAAATGCACGTGTCAATGGGCGATGAATGCTGCTGGGAGGAGCTCGTGGCTTGCCTATGCTTGTAGTTGTGCAATGGAGTTTTGAGTGTAGAAGGAAAGGAGCAAAATCTGCAAAATATGAAAAACTAACCAACTTCTCAAAGGAAATAAAATAAAATTGTCAATAAAAGATAATTAAAATGAATCAATACCCATGGTTTTTTGCCTTGTGTGATCTTGGTCCCTAAATTTTGCACCACTGGTAGCTTTTGTGATATTTGGGAGAAGGATAAAATTGGTTTTAAAAAGGGGATTTTGAATTCGGGGTTCTTCCCCTGTTTTGGATGTAATGGGAATATAAAGTAAGATAAGCCCGTAACTTGTCATGGAGCATGGAGAACTGAGGAAGAAATGGAGGAGAGATTGGTTCTGCAGTTTCTTAGGGTGAGGGTAAAAAATTGCACAAATTTGGCACATCTAAGAACCAATTTTGTGAAGGACTACATTGACTAATTGTGAATAATTGAGGAACGGAACAAAAAAAAATTCTCTCAAAAAGGAAAATGAAAGAAACCGACTGTCACTGTAATTGTTATGTTATTAATTAATGTATCCCTTATGTTAGTTCTGCGCGAGGAAGCTGCCAAGTGCCAGAGGAAGACATTGCTCAAGTATAAAATAGCCTTGGAAAAGTCATATGGGTTGGACGAATTGCTTCATGGTGTTTGTTTAGTTCTGTTCCCTAAACCAAGTGAATATGATGCTCGGAGAGATTTGGTCCGCATAATTAATGAAATTGTCAAGGAAATTTATGGTAAATATAGTAATGAATTTTTCTTTATATATTCACTTTCTTAGATATATATATATATATATATATATATATTTTTTTTTTTTTCATGCTTAAGATTTTCTAAGTATATAGAATAGATTTGACCATTTGACATGAGTTTTTACACAAAGAATAAAATTTGTACTTCTCAATTCTTTGTTTCAGGTTGCTCTGGTGATTTTCCTTGTGTTGTGGAGTTTGGGTCTTTCACAATGGATCTGTTTGAAGCAAAAAGTGACCTAGATCTATCTGTTAATTTTAGAAAGGTTGACATCACGCGTGCCAGGAAGATTCAGACTCTCAAGAAGCTTGCAAAGAAGCTTTATATACTTCAGCGTAAATTTCAAAAACAAGTTCTTTTATTGCTTATGCTGTCTTAATATAACTGTCTTATCAGTTCCAAACTTGTAGGTCTCACCAAGTTTCCAATATAAGAAATTGCTTACGTAATATGTTTCACATTTAGGTTAGCTGACCATGAGAAAGATAAAAAATGCTAACACCTTACTTGGATTAGCTGTCATTGCCAAGTTGTCCCTTTATTTCATTTTTATTGGCCACTTTGATTAGACACATATTTTAAGAAAATTTAGTCAAAGCTTTAAAATACTTGTAATATTCCACTTATTCCCAGCTTTTGCATGGAATGCATTCAATTTTATTAATGTGCTATGGGCATTTAAGAATTTTTTATTTTTATTAAATACTTTTTAAAAGTTGATAGTGGGCAATAAAAATGGGATGGAGTGTTAAGTTTCTTCATGCATGGAAATATCTTTCAGGGTTTAGTGATTTTTTTATTATTATTATATTACTAACTATCAAAATGTGTTATATTACTATTACGGATGTTATTTACTCAAGGCGTTTGGGTTGTTCTAAGCCATGTTATCTATGTTGTGAATTGTCAGAGCTTATCTGTTCTCTCACCTATCTATATATGTTTCAGGTAGTGGACATGTTTATGGTGTGAACCCAATTACCCGTGCTATTGTGCCTGTTCTGAAAGTTGTTGATAGTGGAACTGGGATTGAGTGTGATATATCAGTTGGAAACCGTGATGGAATTTTGAAATCCAAGATACTCTACTTCATTTCTCTCATTGATGAAAGGTTTCGCAAACTATGCTATTTGGTAATGTGCCCATCCTTTTGTGTTCTTATTGTTGCTCGATATCATAAACTTTATGGTCCCTTGCTCCTTTTTTTTTTTGCATGATTTTCATGCATTAGTGGGTGGACATATTTCATTGCCCATAATTGATAATCCCCAAGGGAAAGCAATCAAAGCACCATCAAAGAATGATGAGTTGAGATGTGCCTATTAGTTTGAATAATAATTTTCAGAAAATTGGTTTTAATTGAGTGTTTCAAATGGCACCACATATTGTTCTTTCCTATGGATAATTAGATTTTCTGCTGTAGCATTTGATGATAGTTTCTTTACAGATGAAAGCATGGGCTAAAGCACATAACATTAATAGTGCAAGGGACAAAACCTTGAACTCATTAAGTATAATACTTCTGGTGGCATTTCACCTGCAGGTGCGGTTTCAGTTCAAATTCTTTAGTCATTGGTTAACTCTAATATTCACACTATTTTCGGAAGATTTATGCACTTGAAGAAATCTGATTTTTATGAGTGATATTAATAAATTAGTAAAAATTGTTTTCATTAAATTGAAGGGTTATTTAAGTCGCAAATTCCTCTAAGATTTTTGTATCATTAACTTTAGTCATCACTGTGAATTTACTATTAAGTGCATGTCCTCATTGACTGATTGATTAACCAGCTACTGTTCTCTTGGGTAACTAAAACTTTGCAGACTCGTAATCATCCAATACTGCCACCATTTTCTGCAATTCTTACAGGTAACTACTAAAAGAAATCTTTTTTTTTTTTACATACATGATTCTATACAAGGTAGTATCTGTTCTATAGTTTCTCAGTCTTTTTCAGCCCAAAGAAACAATGCCCCCACCACCGGGGTTCGATTCTGTGACCACTCATTTTGGAATGGTAATAGAGGTGCCATGAAACTACATAGTAGTTGGCAAAAGAAATCTTTTTAGTAAATCAATAAGTACATGTTTTAAAATATTATTTGAAACACAGTTCAGAGTTATCCTTGCTTGTTCCAGAAAGAGATTCTAACATTTCATACTATAGTGATATTTAGAAGTTTCCTACAGATGATAGCTCTTATCTGTAGAGCTGGCACATCGTTAGCATTCTTTAATACCTCCGCACTCAATATCAGGAGCTAGATTCTCCATTTAACTTTGAGAATGTTTTCTGAACTTCTATTTACCGTGATTAATTGCAAAAACTACAAATTCTTTGTCACTTTTACACAGCTCTGTTATAGAGTGGCATGGTACAACTTTAACTTTTTGCTTGTTGCAGATGGTTGTGATACTGAAGCTGTGTCAAACTCAATACATAAGTTTAATAATTATGGACAAAACAATACAGAATCAGTGGCTGAGCTGTTTGTGACGTTATTACTTATGGTATATTCCCTCTGTATTTAAACTCACATAAAATTCACTTTACAAGAAGCCTATTAATTGACCCATCTTTCCCTTACTGATTTTTTATTCCCAATGTTGAGCAATTCTGCGTGCTTGTGTTATTTGCAGTTATCATCAGTCGATGAACTTTGGTTCCAAGGTCTGTGTGTCAGCACTTACGAGGGATCTTGGATATCTAAGACTTGGGATAATAAAGTTGGCTGCATCAAAGTAATTGTACTTGGCTTATTCGAATCCTTCTTTTCTTTTAGAAGCGCACTATATTTATGCTAGTTAATGGTCTCACAGGTAGAGGATTTCACTGACCGATCCCAAAATGTTGCAAGGGCAGTAGGAGAGAGTGAAATGAAAAGAATAAATGAATGCGTTAACCTTTCTATTGAGCGCATTTCTGATTTTTTGAGTTGCCGGATGGAAGGGTATGCATTAAGAGAATTTTTGTTTGGCAAGGATGTGGCCATATCAGTAAGCGGAGTTACTGTGAATTGCAATGCAAATGTCGCAAAATCTAATGCACCTCTTGGATTGACTACCTGGAGAGAGGTCAATGATACTATGGGTGGTCACAAAGCACCTCGACAAACGAGAAATGTTGAGCATAGGGGTCAATCAGCATCGCCTAGTCCATATCACACCGCCTTGGGAAAGAGGACGAGGACTGATGGACCTACCAACACAAAAAGGATGAGAAATACCGGTGATTTTGGGCAAATGCATTATAGCGAGACTGCTAGAGCCCCATATCCACCTATTCCAATTGCTCATCCTACTTATGCATCTAACGCAGGTAACTGGCTGTCTTCTGACTATGTTAGGGAGAGTGTTATAGCCACACCATTGGTGCATACTCCAATGGTATACCACCCAGGTCATCCTCATGACCAACTTCAAAGGACTTTTAGACCTCCAAATTTCCCTACTCCAAGTGTTTATCCTACTTTTCCACCTATAACAAACCAGATGTTTCCCGGCCATCCTAGTCAGACTTTAAGAGTAGCAAATTTGCCATCTGCTTCTGATCTGTTACCATATCCCCTTGCTGGTCCAAATTGTTTTAATTTGTAGCACCAAACTCTACCATAAGATGTTTAGTTTCAAATCATGCCAATAGAAAATATATCATCCAATATTGTAACCATCATAGTCTCTGCCTTGGACAATCATAGCAAAAATGTTAATATGGCCCCTAACTTGTGCTTATTCTGTCAATTTTGTCCAATGCTATTTTTTTTTTTTTTTTTTTTTGGTAAAAAATTCAGTATAAAAATCATTAGCTTTTCAAGTTAATGAAATCTTGGCAGAAAGAAAAAAAGCAAAATTGACAGACAGCATAAAGTAGGGGACAGATTGAGAGTTTTGCCATTGTAAATTAAGACATCTATTTAGCATTGTTCGCTTTAGAGTATGTGTTTTTGTTTTTATCGAACAATGGCAAGTGCAATAAAAAATCTTGTAGTTACCTGTACTCAATAGGTGAGGCCAGCCAGGTACAGTTCATTTCTAAAAACATTGTTTCTGAAAATGTCTGTATAGTATGTCCACCTTTGAGGGGTCATTTTGCAATGCTGTGTTTAGCCATTTTCTTATTAAACATGCCAGTTTGGTGTTGTAATTGAACTTGAAATGGTCTTTTTGTTAGCTTCTGAATCTACAGAACTTGTTTGATGCAACAAGGACTCTGATAAACAGACATAAGACATCTCACCTGAGAGTCCAATTCAATTTGAAGTCATATCATATTGCTAAACATTTTGCACTAGTACCCCATTATTATTGTGTGGACTATTCTATCAAATAATGTACATTCAGTAAACAAATACTCTGTAATGTCTTTTAGTATATTAAAAATGTACGGAGTATATTGTATTTAGGAAAAGTACATTATTTGAGTACTAAAAGTACATTATTTTGTATAATGTATATTCAGTACACAAATAATGTATTTTTAGTATATTAAAAATATACTTTTTGTTATGGTCCACACAATAATTCCTCCCTCCCCTTCATTTGTTTCGAAAATATATCCGAATATATATATTTATTTCAAAAGAATATCATGTTTATTGCTATACCAGAAAGTGTAATTGTAGACATTTTTATAAGTAAATATCAATTTATTTACAAAAGTAAATAAATTATATTTCCTATTCTTTTGAAACATATTTCCTTCCTATTTACAATAGTTGAAATGACATTGTAGAATTTTTTATATACAAAATGTCTTTACATGATTTACGATCTCAGCTGTCCAAACATGAATTGGATATGATTTAGATAAGGTCGTGAGTCATAACTAGGGTAGCAAATCTGGAAATGCACTCCAAGTCCTAGTCATTGGTATGCAGAAAATGATGCAGCAATTTTGGGATTTTAAGAGATTTCAGATTTTCAGGAGTATGTATTAGCGTTATAATTTAATTATGGGTATTTAATGTTAATGTCCATGTCTTAGAAAAAGGCCCTGTTTAGTAAAATAGTTAGCCAATAGATTAATTTTGACTTATTTGACTATTATTTGCTATTTCAGTGCCGATTTTTAGATTTGTGTGATTCCATATTTGTAAATAAATAAGGCCCTACTAAAAGCGCAATCTTTAATAATAATAAGGTGGTAAAATGTTGTTGTGCGCATGAGAAAGACAACAGACATATTATGGAATAAATTACAATTATAACAACAACAACAACAATAATAATAATAATAATAATAATAATAATAATAATGGTACACTAGAATACATGCATATGGCACTAAAAATAAGTTTCGAAATTTCATCTGGATTACCCATGTGAGTTCTCCAAGACTTCTCCAAGATATGCAAGAACCAAGCGCTTCTCAGCGCTCAAGGGAAGAGCAGGATCTGCTGGAATGCAGTACCAAGAAGCCGAAGCAGGTTCATTCTCCGTCTATTACCCGTTTGCCGTCAATTTCAATGAAAGCGGTGCGGGAATCTTCAACGAATGATGACGCCAGTTTCATGACTCCCCCGTCCGGAGGTGCATCTTCGGCATCTTTCAACTGCATGATGAACGAAAGAACCGAGGATCAAGGCCTCAAGAATGATCGTGAAGGAACATCAACTGCATACGACGACATGCAAGAAGACGATGGGGACGATCCCTACTGCCCTACCATCAAAGTTACTGAAGAAGAGAAAATACGTCTTAGGAAGCCATGGCAGAGAACCTTGATCATCCGTGTGCTGGGTCGCACAGTAGGCTTTATGTACTTACACAAGAGGTTACACGCCATGTGGAGGCCGGAAGGCCAAATGGAGCTAATCCCCCTCGATCAAGATTACTATCTGGTGAGATTTGAAGTCCAACGTGACTATGACTATGCGAAGTTCGAAGGGCCTTGGATGTTGCTCAACCATTATGTGACTGTCAAAGAATGGGTACCTAATTTCTACCCAACAGATGATATTACTGAGAAACTTTTGGTCTGGATTCATTTTCCCAATCTCCCTGCTGAATATTTCGAGGAGGAGTTCCTCATGAAAATCGGGAGGAAAGTTGGTAGGCCAATTAAGATTGATACAACCACGAGCTTGGTCTCAAAAGGGAAATTCGCAAGACTTTGTGTGGAAGTAGATATTACTAAACGTTTGCTGTCTAAGTATGACCTTGAAGGAAAGGCTAGGTCCATTGAATATGAGGGCATTCACCTTATTTGCTTCAAGTGCGGCCTTTACGGTCACAGGCGTGAACAATGCGGACGCAGGAGCGGTGAGTCCATAGGGAAGGAAGAAAACCATGAAGTCCATGAAGATGATCGATCAAATTGCAGAGGCCAAGATGGTACGCCTCTGGTCTTTAAAGAAACAGTGAAAATACCATCTCTGAATGATAACTTTGGCGAATGGATGATAGTGTCTAAGAAGGATAGGCGCAAACCTCGAAGGAACAATCAAGGTGACAATACCCGGCAAGTAACTGGGAGGAATACTACCCCTAAACCACCTGGTAGAACCAATGTGCAAAAGAATGGGACATCACAGCGTTTTGCGCCGTTGGAAGATCATACGGATAGAGATCAGCCCTTTGATGGGGCTAGTAACGTGAGTTTTAATGAGCATCCTGGTGGGCAACGGGCTTCTTCCTCCAAAGGTAAAGAGGTGATCACGAGTCCTAGGCAAGTAGCCAGCCATCCGACATTAGGGGAAGACTTCATGTTCGATGATTCAGACTTCCCACAGTTAGCAGTCAGTTCTTCGAAGGATACCACCAGAGGCAGAGGTCATAGAGGTGGTCATCCGGGCAACTTTTCTAGGAGGGCAGTTGCTGAATCTGAACATACCCTGGTTCGAGGTTCTGGAAGAGGGCAAACGATTTCTAGAACAACTGTTCAGCACGACGATCCACTCCTCGCTCCTGTCTTTCTAAACGATATAAATTTGCCGAATAGGAAAAAGCCTCCTGACAAGGATAATGCTTTGCATGCTTGCCCTTCCCAGCCTGATGAAGCCATGGAATTAGATGGCAACATGTCTTCCTCTCACGGTTGTGAGCCGTCTGATCCCCAGCTCTTTTGAGCTTGTTTTTCTTTTTATCATGATTGGTATCTTTTCGAACTGTCAAGGTGCGGCTTCCCGGCCTTTTCTCCGCACCTTGAAACTCTACATTAAGAATTTTAATCCCCAGCTTATCTGTCTCTTCGAGCCTAGAGTTTCCGGTCATCATGCTGATAAGATTTGCTCTTCTCTCAACTTTGATGAATGGTTTAGAATTGAAGCTTTGGGCTTCTCGGGTGGTATCTAGGTATTTTGGAAAAATGCTATCCGTATTAATATCATCTCTACTCACCCCCAATATACAGTGTTGCAGGTGTTCGAGAATGATAATGTCCCTTGGTTTCTTTCACCCATATATGGTAGCCTTGATCCTAGTCTCAGGAAGCGTTTATTTGCGGAATTAACCCACCATAATTGCGACATCAACGACCCTTGGCTCATGGCAGGAGATTTTAATGCGGTGCTTAGCCAGGAGGAAACTAGTAACACTAATAATTTTTCCCTCTCACGTTGTGCAGGTTTTAGAGATTGGATTTTCCAAGAAGGTCTCCTCGACCTTGGTTATACTGGTACAAGATTTACATGGATGCGAGGTACGAACTCAGACTCCTTTAAAGGTGCTAGACTGGATAGAGTGCTCTGCAATGTGGACTGGAGGTTGAGGTTCCCAGATGCCACCGTGCAACATCTCCCTATAGTCCAATCTGACCATTCCCCACTGTTTCTCAATACTGCGCCAATTGTGCCAAAGAGGATTTATCCTAGGAGATTTAGATTTAATGCGGCATGGATTACTCATCCCGACTTTAGAAAGATGGTTCAGATTAATTGGGATGTGAACAAAGACGTTTTTGAAAATAAAAGTTTATTGGCAGAGAATCTGGATTCCTGGAATAGGGACACGTTTGGTAACATTTTCCATAGGAAGAAACGAGTTTTGGCGAGACTTGAAGGGATCCAACGTAGCCTATGCGTTTACTGGAGATCAGATCTTTTGAGACTACAAAAGAGGTTACGCAAAGAGCTCGATGAAATCCTCTACCAAGAAGAACTTCTATGGTTCCAACGCTCCAGGGAAGAATGAATTACGTCGGGTGACCGCAATACTAGATTTTACCACATGACCACAGTGGCTCGCACATCTTCTCGTCGACTACAAAGTCTCAAGAATGAGGATGGGGAGCTTATACATGGTGATGATCAAATCAGAGAGCATGTGAAGGAATTTTTTAGTAAATTGTTTACTGCAGATAGACAGGTTGTTATGGAAGGTGTTCTGTCTGGGCGCTTTCCAGAAGTTACTGATGCGGAATGGGAGAAGCTGAACTTGCCATTCACACCAGGAGATATACGACAAGCGTTATTTGACATGCTCGCTTTTAAGGCGCCAGGGCCAGACGGCTACCACGCGGGATTCTACCAACAGGTATGGAGTATTGTTGGTAATTCAATCACTAACTTTGCTCTTAATTTTTTCAGGAATGATACTATTATATCCAGGGTTGTAAAAATCCCGCCTAGGCACCGAGTAATCAGCGCTTAGGCGCTAGGCGCCCATAGGCCGTGGCGATTTCCGCCCTAGGCTCCCGCCTAGGAGACCGGCCGCCTAGGCGCCCGCCTAGTGCCTAATTCAGCCGCCTAGCGGCTAACTCGTCCGATTACGCCGAGTTAACTCGTCAATTTCTGTCGAGTTAGTCTAGTTAACCCGACCGACTCGACCTTGCTAATTTTTTCCATTTATATGACATATACATATAATATGACATATATACACTCGTAGACTAGTTTGATACTTTCAATCTTTGGATGATTGAAGTATTTGGGTATTTCATTTGAGTTTTTTTTTTTTCTTTTATTCTTTTGATGTTATGACTTATGAATCGTCATTATGTCATTTATTTGGATGTGTTATTTGATTGAATGTTGAAAACAGTCTCATTAAAATTGTCAAATTGCAAGTCTGCTACTATTTTTTTCGCGACCGCCTAGCGCCGCCTAGATTTCGCCTAGGCGCCGACTAGGCCGCTTAGGCGCTAGGCGCTGCCCGGGCGCCCGACTAGCGCCCAGCGCCTACTGCAACCATGATTATATCTCTCATTCCCAAGGTGGAAAATCCAGAATTTGCAAAGCATTTCAGACCAACTGGCTTATGTAACGTTCTGTACAAAGTAATCACTAAAGCAATGACTACTAGGCTTAAAGTGATTTCACAGAAGGTGGTAGGGCCTCACTAAACTAGCTTTGTGCCTGGGAGACAAATTTCGGATAACATCTTACTCTACCAGGAAGTGTTGAATTCAATGGGCACAAAACAAGGCAAAAGAGGTTGGATGGTTCTCAAGATAGATTTGGAGAAAGCTTATGATAGTTTCTCTTGGGATTTTTTGCATGATACTCTTCAGGACATTGGGCTGAATCCAACATGGATCAGGAACATTGACTTGACTGCTACGTTCGGACGGCCAGAATGGCTGTATCTTGGGAAGGGGAGTGTTCGGATTGGTTCCTGCCCAGCCGTGGTATTAGGCAAGGTGATCCTATCTCACCTTTGCTGTTTGTTCTTTGCATTGAGCGGCTAAGTCACCTGATCGAATATTACATTGGCCTAAATAAGTGGAAGGGAATTAAGATAGGCAGAAACGGCCCATGTTTGTCTCATCTATTTTTCGCCGATGATATGGTGCTCTTTGGCGAAGCTACAATCGAGCAAATGCTGGTGATAAAGGAATGCTTAGACCGACTCTGTTCAGGGTCGGACCAAAAGGTTAATGTGCAAAAATCATTTATATTTTTTTCTAAGAATACAGATTCTGAGCTTCAGGCTGCGATCACAAGGTTAGCAGGAATGCAGAAAAAAGACGATCTCGGGAAATACTTGGGGGTTCCCTTCATCCACGGGAGGCTCAAGCATGATTCATTTGCAGATATACTCAACCGGGTTCAGGGTAGGCTTGCAGGTTGGAAATCCCGCACTCTTTCGATGGCAGGTCGTCAAGTACTGATCCAATCAGTTCTCTCTGCCATCCCAACATACAGTATGCAAACTATGCCAATTCCTAAAGGTATAATCTCCAGACTTGAGCAGATATCTAGAAATTTCCTATGGGGTTCAGTAGATGGCGAGAGAAGATATAATCTGATTAGCTGGGAGAAGGCAACCACCCCAAAAAGGCTTGGGGGTTTGGGTATTCGCAGGCTAGAGCATATGAACTCTGCATTTCTTGCAAAGTTGGGTTGGAAACTTTTAAACGATGACAATTCTTTATGGTCTCGTGTCATTAAGGCTAAGTATGTTCCGAAGGTGAATGATATAACAACTTGGAAACCAAAGGCAAACATGTCACTAGCTTGGAAAGGTATTTCCAATTCTACTGCTATCCTCTCCAAAGGAATAAGGAAGGTGGTAAAAAATGGTGCAACAACATTATTTTGGCTCGATTGGTGGATTGGCAGTCGTCCTCTAAAGGAGGAAGCTATCTGTATGATTCCTTCGTCTGAGATATTTGCTTTAGTTCTAGATTATTGGGACCAAATCTCAGGTTGGAAGTGGAATAAGATCGAAGGATTTCTTTCTGATTCTGCTGTTAACCAGTTGAGAGCATTTGTTGTTCACACGGAGATTGAGGATGAGGATGGTATAGCCTGGGGCAAAGGGGCACTTAACCATTTCTCAATCAAAGAAGCGTATGATATAGCAGCTGGTTTCGATACCAAACCATCTGTCAGTATTTGGAATAGCATTTGGAAACTAAAGGTTCCAAATCGCATCTGCATTTTCCTATGGCTGGCTAGGCACGATAGAATTATGTCCAACCTTAACAGAGCTAGAAGGGGCTTTACAACGGATGTTCATTGCTGGAAGTGTGTGAATTCAATCGAGGACATTAGCCATATCTTGCGTGACTGCTCCAAAGCCCAAGAAGTCTGGGCAGATCTTCCTTACTTCGGCCTAATTAATAATAGAAGGCAACCGTTTAACAGGTGGTTTGATGAAGGCTTAATGGGAAATGCCCATCCGGATCGCAGTGTTATTTTCGCCATCACATTATGGTGGTTATGGAAGTGGAGGAACGAAGCTGTCTTTAGCCAGAAGGATCTGCCTAACAGCCAGAAAGTACAGTGGATAATGAACCAAGTTCAGGAAATCAATAATGTCTTTTCAAGAGCCAAATCAGCAGGTCGTCTTCGTTTGGATACTTCCTGGAAATTAATTAGCTAGAGTAAACCACCTCCGGAGTGGATTAAGGTGAACACGGATGGGGCATGCAACCATTCTCGCATTCAAGGTGGCTGCGGAGGTGTCATTAGAGATGAGAATGGCGCTTGGATTACAGGTTTCACCTACGGTCTCGGTCCCTCGAGCATAGAAGAGGCGGAACTCTGCGGCCTGCTCAAAGGAATCCAGATGGCTAGACACCTAGGCTTCAAATGTTTAATTTTTGAAGTGGATTCCATGGATGTAGTTAATGCAGTCTCCAAAGGTAGACCTTTCAACAGCCAAGCAGATGTAATGGTTCTGACTTGCAAAGCTGAACTCACCTTCTTTAATGGTTGGCGTTTGGATCATATAATGAGGGAGCAGAACGTTGTAGCTGACTGTATGGCTAAAGCACCTTTAAATTGCCCGCAACTAGCTTGTGCTCACAGCCAACCCCCTGACTTTGTTCTTCCCTTCTTTGAAAACGACTTAGCCTCTATCCCGGTTTGGCGGCAAGTAGTTTGCCATCCTGAAATGTAATTGGATAGCCCCCCTTCCTATTTTGATCAAAAAAAATAAAAAATAAAATAATAATAATAATAATAATAATAATAATAATAATAATAATAATAATAATAATAATAATAATAATAGTAATAATAATTTTTAACTTCCTTCCAAAAATAGTCCTATCCTATTACGGTTTGTGTAATATTGTAAAATATGGTAATACAATTCCTATTCGTACTACAATTGCATTTAAAATATAGTAATATAATTACTAATATAATATATTCTTTCCTACTTTTCTATTCGTAATACAATTCTAGATTAAAATTACTAATCCTAATAATGCAATACATATACTTTCATGCAACGTAATCTATCTATACAACTAATAAAAACAAAATCTTACTTTACAACTTTCCATCCAAACACTTAATAATAATAATAAAGAACAATGAAAAAGAATCGTTAAAAAAAAAAAAAAAAAACTCTCTTTGCCCATAAAACATGCATCCTTATTTCTTCAAATTATAATATTGAAATTGCAATAATGTAGAAAAGGGTTACAGTATAAATACTTTTCTATCCGTAATACAATTTTACTTATTATTTTAGAATCTCCAAATAATAATATTGATTGAGATTACACTATAAATACTTTCCTAACCTTAATACAATTGTACATGAAACATGCATCCTTATTTTTACAAATAATAATAATATTAAAATTGCACTAAATATACTTTCCTATCCGTAATACAATTCTACTTATTATTTTGTAGAATTTCCAAATAATAATATTGATTGAAATTACACTATAAATATTTTTACAACCTTAATACAATTGTACAAGAAACATGCATCCTTATCTATACTATTAATAAAAATAAAATTCTAATTTTGCAACCTCCCGCCCAAACTACTTCCAAAGCTATTACTATATAAAATATAATAATTATTATGGTAAATAGTAGCCCAATAAATGTGGCAACTAATATATATATATATATATATATATATATATATATATATATATATATATATATATATATATATATATATATATATATATATATATATATATATATATGTATGTAGAATTAGGTTCTGGTGCGGTTAGAATGCTTAGGTGCGATTGTGTGGTTTAATCTAGGTCATTCATCTCGCTTAAATCAACGTCCAGGATTACTAAAATTTAAAAAAAAAAAATGCAGTGACAATTTTGTAATTTATGAATCTAGGTCAAAATTGATATGAGCGGTTCTGTGATTAATGTGCGTGAGTTTTGTATATAAGATGCGTGAGTTTTGTGTTTAATGTGCGTGGGGTTGTGCTTAATGTGAATAGTTGGTAAAACTTAAAGTGTGGGCTTTTGTGTT